GCGTGAAAATGTACACTCTCTTGCCCCTTTTTTCCTCGATGGCTTTTCTTTTACTCAAAGGATATCCAATAATCCACATTTTCCAACCACCCAAAAATTCAATATTCTTTCCTACTACTTTTTATTTCACACTTCACACATATTCATGATTATTGACCGCAATAACGGCTGCCCTTCATTGGCCTTTTCAGTTGAATTGGTTGTTACTAGTTTGAAATTCTTAGTGATCTTCATCTCTTCCACTTTTTGCAATCCATATTAATGAAGCGATTATTTTGTGGTCCAAAATGTTATGTTATTAGTAGTCTCGTCTCGATCAACAATAAGATGTCATACTAGAGCTTCTAATAACCGGGTTTACTATAAAAATATATACTTCCTCCGTCCCTATATTACATTCCTCCTTTCTATTTTTGGTTTTCCAAAATTACATTCCTCCTTTTTATTTTTGGTAAGTTTTTTTTAGTAAATTAACTCTCTTTTTCTATTTTATATTTAATGTTTTCTCACTCATCCTTACCCAATCTCACTCATAATCCTTGTGCCAAATTACAATGAATATGATTGGTTAAAAATTTTCAATTAGGAGCATGTACTTGGTCCTTTTTTTTTTGCAAAGGATTAATGACATGTCATGAGTAATAACTAATCTATCTTTGTACTTCCCATTGCATTATCTAATTATTGTTATTTGTCTTATTCTTTCCTCCTTAATTCCCGTGTAAATTTCCAAAGAGGAATGTAATATAGGGACGGAGGGAGTAGCGTAAAACATAAATTTGGTCGAAGAAAAAAAATTGGATTTTTACTAAAAAATTGTTTCAACGAGTGTAAAATAAACAATTGTTTGAACTTGTTTATAACCTAGATTTATTGATTAATACAATCTCCATGTTTTCCTGTCGTAAGTTCATTTTTGTTATGGCCTGGACACATCGACTAGACTTAATAAAGTATAATGTGTGGTTGCATATTTCTTCCATAGAGTATGAGTAAAGATGGTAAGAAAGTTGAAGTATTTTACATGATATAAAAAAAAAATTAAATAAATCTATGATTCAGACATTAAGAAAATAGAAATACCGAGTAAAAAAACAAATACGGAGTAAAACATTTAAATTGAACCGTTTTGAGCAGAGATAATTCAATTTCCTCTGTGAAAATTAGATAATACATGGTGCACCATGGTAAACAAAAAAAAACGGAAAGAACATATAGTGTTTGATAAAAAAAAAATACCTATGTTTGACAAAGAACATACCTTTAATATGTTCTTTGAATGTAATCAGTGTGTTTTTTGAGTAAAATTATATATTCATTACATTATAACTTATGTTATTTAACATATGTTGATAAACATATACGAAGTATGTTTTTTTGGGTTTAATAATACAAAGTATGTTCTTTGACTTTGGCGTGTATGTTCTTTAAGGTCGTAGTGACGCCCAAATTCTATTTTTATTATCATATGTCATATTTAAATTACTTTTATTATTGTATGTTATTTGAGTTTGATTAGTGTGTTATTTAAGTATTAACTATATGTACTTTACAATATAAATTATGTTCTTTTAACATACTCGTATGTTATTTTGAAATTTGATATTGAAATCTTAAATTATTTTTAATTGAAAATAATATTAGAGTAAAAAAAACTAAATTATTACGGGAAGTTGAATTTTTTTTGGAGAGATAGAAAACTATTTTTTTGGGAAATGATATCTTTGGTAAGGATTTTTTAAGAGGTGATCAACATTGGCATGACTCGCATCCCAACCCGATCCGACCTGAAATAGGGTGGGTTTGGGCAAACCTAAAAATGCATTTTTAGTTAAAACTCAAGCCGGGCTTGAAAAAAGCCCGAAAATCCACTACTTTTGTACGGGTTTGGGCACGAGAAATTATGATAGGCCCGGCCCTACTCGATTTTTTATCACCTCTAAATTTTTACCATTAATAATGTGTAATTTTTCAGAAAATTTAATTAAGATTTTATCTCGTTCTTTTTATTATGTCTTTATGTTCTTTGGTAATGCATGTTTTTGTCAAATACAAACATGTTCTTTGTCAAATACATGTATGTTCTTTATGAAACACAAGATGTTCTTTCCGCCTTTTTTTTATTTATCCGGGTGTACGATGAGCACTGTACACCCGTATGTATAAACCACGGATTATTAAATAGTTGCATACTTTTAAGAAAGACATTAATTTAAATAGTTTTGAAAGAATTATATTCCGTGATTAATAACATTGCTTTACTTAGCAATATATACAGTGTACAAGATTAGGCTTAGCCTCTAATTTAGCTATAAACATGGTAACTAAATATTCTTAAGGCTAAATACAAGGAAACCGAAATATACAGAATAATATGTACACTTATCTTAACACACCCCCACAGTCGAAGCGGGAGGTGGACGGACACTGAGATTGTCCCTAAAATCATGAAAGAGTACTCGTGGGAGACCCTTTGTAAAGATGTCCGCAATCTGATATCTAGACGGCACATGAAGAACACGGACTTCACCACGGGCAACCTTCTCACGAACAAAATGGATATCCATCTCAATGTGTTTCGTTCGTTGATGCTGAACAGGGTTGTCGGATAAATAAATAGCACTCACATTGTCGCAATATACTAGTGTAGCCTTTTTAACCGGACAATGCAATTCAAGAAGAAGGTTTCTAAGCCAACATGACTCCGAAACAACATTAGCCACACCCCGATACTCGGCCTCTGCACTCGATTTCGACAATGTAGGTTGTCGCTTAGACGACCAGGAAACTAAGTTATCACCCAAAAATAGACAATAACCAAACGTCGAGCGCCTTGTATCAGGACATCCACCCCAATCTGCATCAGTATATGAGACCAGAGTAGAAAAAGAAGAAGGATACAAGTGAAGACCGTAGTCCAAAGTACCCTTAGCATATCGAATTACCCGCTTAAGAGCGGACATGTGATCCACCCGTGGATCATGCATATGAAGGCACACCTGTTGGACGGACATATGATATATCCGGCCGTGTGAAAGTAAGATATTGCAGAGCCCCTGCTAGACTCCGATACAGAGTAGGATCATCAAAAGTAGTACTAGAAGTAGTACTAACCTTGGAGTTGGTGTCAACCGGAGTAGGAGATGGCTTACAAGAGGACATACCGGCACGCTCAATTATTTCTTCCGCATACTTTCGCTATGAAAGGAACATACCACCCTTGTTCCTAGTAACAACAATGCCAAGAAAATAATTCAGAGGACCCAGATCTTTCATAGCAAATTCCGAACTAAGAAGATCCATGATGGAACGCCGGAGAGTATCTGAAGAGGCAGTAAGAATAATGTCATCAACATAAAATATAGGCCATTTCAGACCCCCTTTTGAAAATAAATAAGGAGTTATCCATCCTACTATTGGTAAAACCAATAGATAACACAAACTCTGCAAAACGCTTATACCAAGCTCGGGGAGTCTGCTTAAGCCCATATAAAGCCTTATGTAGGAGACAAACATAATCAGGATGAGTGCGATCCCTGTAACCCAAAGGTTGATGCATATATACCGTCTCTTGGAGCTCACCATGCAGAAAAGCATTTTTGACATCCAACTGATGAATGGACCATGCCTTAGAAAGAGCAAGACTGAGAACAGTACGAATGGTTGCCGATTTTACAACCGGACTAAATGTCTCCCCACAATCAATGCCAACCTGTTGAGTTTTGCCATCACCTACAAGACGGGCTTTATGCCTCTCAAACACACCATTAGATTTAACTTTATGAGTAAAAATCCACATAGACCGAGTAACATTAACACCAGGCGGACGGGGCACCAACTCCCACGTCTTATTTTTAATAAGAGCATCATATTCATCATCCATGACCATTTTCCAATTAGGGTCACGAAGTGGCTCAACCGGAGTACGAGGAATAGGAGATCTCGACACTGTGGTATGCAAAGAGTGATGAGAATACTTGGGATTGGGTTTTAAAATCCCATTTTTACTCCTTGTAATCATACTGGGCTGAACATTTTGTGTGGGGTTGGAAACTGGGCCAGGCTGTGTTTCGTTCTGCTGGTGTAAGAGAGGTGGACCAGGCTGGTTGGGTAATGAGCTGGTTGGTGGAGAAAGCCCACGCATAGGGGAGTTGGGGGTTGGCAGGTTGGTTAACGGGCTGTGAGGAGGAGAAAGCCCAATAATGGGCGTGGGTTGGCTCGCCACATTTGGCTGGGCCGTGGGATTTGTGGGTTGGGGATTTGGGGCCTGCTGAGATGCAATGTGATGGAGAATATTTGGATGTAACCCATCATCAAGAAAATTATAAGCGTCAGCAGTAGGTTCATATAATTTTGCAAAAGGGAAATTGTTCTCATCAAAAACAACATGGCGGCAAATAATGATTTTATTGGTCGATAAATCAAAATATTTATAGCCACGGTGGTTACTAGGAAATCTCAAAAACACACAAGGGGTAGATCTTGGTTGAATCTTATTAATAGTGGTAGAGGGAATAAGGGGATAGCATAAACAACCAAAAACCCGTAAATGAGAATAAGATGGAACCCTTTTGTAAAGATCCTCAAGAGGTGATTTATGCCCCAAAAGCTTACTTGGAAGAATATTTAGAAGATATGTTGCCATTTGCAATGCATGATGCCAAAAGGAAGGTGGAAGAGAGGCATGAGCAAGAAGAGTACGAGTGACATTATTTATGGTTCAAATTTTTCTTTTGGCTTTCCCATTTTGAGAAGAAGTATGTGGGCAAGATAATTGGAAAGACATCCCATGAGCCTTACAAAAATCCCAAAAATAACTATTATCAAACTACCGGCCATTATCACATTGGACATTTTTAATATTTCGTTCAAATTGGGTGAGAATATGTGTTTTGAAGGTCATGAAAGTATCATACACATCCGACTTTCGGGATATTGGGAAAGTCCACAAAAAATTCGAGAAATCATCCAAAATAACAATATAATATTTGTGCCCCAAAGAACTCAAAATAGGAGAAGACCACAAATCACTATGAATAATGTCAAAAGGCATAATAGTACTCGACAAAGGTGAAGAAAATGGCAATTTAATATGTTTTTCAAGAATACAAGAACCACAAATACTGGAACTAGAACAACTAGTACAATCAATGCTATTATTTTTCCTAAGAGCATCTAAGATAGGAGCCCCCGGATGACCCAAGCGATCATGCCAAAGCTTAGGAGTGATGGCAGCAAAAATGGATGGAGTAGCTTAATTGTTGAGAGTGGTGGTGATAGGGTAAAGATCTCCTTGACTATTACACCTCATTATTGGCATCCCCGTCCAAAAATCCTTCACAGAAAACCCAAACGGATCAAATTCGACAGACACTAAATTATCAGTAGTAAACTTTCGAACAGAAATGAGATTTTTGATGAGTTTGGGTGCATGCAGGACATTTTTCAAGGAAAGGGGAGGGTTAGGGGAGGGTAGACTGGAAGTACCATAGCCAACAATCGGAATATTGTTACCATTACCAACAACAATGCCATTATTAGGATGATTGCTCAAATTAAAATAAGACGAGAAATTACCGGAAGAAGATGTCATGTGAGTAGTGTCTCCGGTATCCATATACCAAGACGGGTCCGGTGGAGCTAGAGACATTGTGTGCATGGAAGCTTCAATATCGGTTGGTGTAGACTGTCCAAGTTGTGAAGTCGCATAAGCTTGTTGATAATTCGGTGGCCTAGGACCCAAGATGCTAGGAGATGAGGCCCGTTGCTGTTGCTGTTGTGGCCTGGCCCAACCTTGATTGGGATAAGGGCAAGGTGGAATGGTCCAGGCCCCATTTGTCCACCCCCAAGGTCCATACGGCTGCTGCCAATATGGAGGAACAGAGTACTGCTGCTGGTGCTGCGGTAGGGAGCCACGGCCACCGGACTGCTGCTGTCCCTTGCCGGACTTTCCACCCCCTCCTGAACCGCGGCTTCTACCTGCGCCGCCACCGCCGGGGTTGCGCCGTCCACCGTTATTTTTTCGACCAAAATTTTTGCCTTTCGAATGCCCTGTATTTTCAGAGTTTTGTGGGGAATTCGAATATGATGATGCTACCATGGCCGATTCTGCAGCAACCTCCTTAGCCATGCTTGTCTCCTCAAGAATGAGCATGGATCGAGCCTTATAGAAGGGGGGGAGTGGGTTGCTTTGCCGGATTAACGTGCCAACACCACCATAGGCCTTTGCAAGGCCACCAACCAATTGTAATACCATTCTACTATTCGACACCAGAGCACCGACGTTCTTCAACTGATCAGCCAAGGATTTGAGGCGTTGACAGTATGAAGAGGCATTAGGAAAATCTTCCATTAATGTGGTGGAAAATTCCTGTTCAAGAGCAACGGCGCGGGAATTCTCATTATCTTGAAATATGTCACGCAATCTATTCCAAGCTTCCATCGCCGTAGTATCGGGCTCAATAATGGTGGTCAAGAGATCATTAGAGATAGTAGAGTAAATCCACGAAACAACCGAGGCGTCCAAAGTCAACTATGCTTCCTTCTCCTCGTCAGTGGTGGGAGCAGGCTTCTCCTTGCCCTTGGCCTGAGGAATGATATGGTGTAGGACTTTGTGAGAACGTGCGTGAACTTTGAAGAGTTCCGCCCAAGTCAAATATTGAGAATTGTCCATTTGAAGAATAACAGGAATGTTACTCTTGATATTGTTGACAGTGAAAGCGGGATGAAGGGAAGATTTGTCTGACATCGTGAGGATTGCCGGAGATGAGAAGAAGATGACGAAAAAACTGTGGATTTGGGCGGAAATAGGGTTGAGCGGAAACGAGAGAAGTAAACCCTAGCTAACTGATACCATGAAAGAATTATATTCCGTGATTAATAACATTGCTTTGCTTAGCAATATATACAGTGTACAAGATTAGGCTTAGCCTCTAATTTAGCTATAAACATGGTAACTAAATATTCTTAAGGCTAAATACGAGGAAACCGAAATATACAGAATAATATGTACACTTATCTTAACAAGTTTGTTACTATGGGTAGCTAACAATTTGTTAGCTACCCAAATTCCGACATTGAGATTTTGTAGTTAATCTTTACACAAGAATGAGAAGGTGACAAATTTAAAATAGCGAGAGCTGAACGTAGAATTACAACTTAATTAATGATTAAAACAATAATTACCGTGTTTATATAACAATCTCTAGAACTCTCTTATATCTTCACCATTAACAAAGTTGGACTTTTTCCCTGAACAAGTAGGCCTACGTCCTCTTCACCAAAATAAAAGAGAGAGGTTCAAATTCAATCATACCTTTTTTTTTTTTTTTTTTTTGAAACATGTTCAATCATACACTTGAATTAAATTGCTACGGTCTGTTTTCAAAAAAAAATTGCTACGGTCTACAGAACTAACAAATGCTTAAATTTTAAAGAAAAAAAAAACTTGGTTTTGCTGTACATATGATATGAATGAAGGTTAATGCTATATGTAGCCTTAAGGACTGCATATTAGCATTTAATATACTTCTTTTTTGGCAAAAGCTGACAAATATTTTGGGGGCGTTAGATAAGCTAGCTAAAAATAGAAAAATTAAATTAAAATTAAAATTAATTACATTGATTGACGCTTGATTTTGTCAAGGTTTTCCAAATTAATACCATTTTAAGTAATATTTTGAATGCTTATCCAACACACCAGGGGCATTCGTTAGCAAGATCCTTATCGACAATTGACTTTTTTAGTACTAAAATGGAAATTTATCGGCAATTCACGAGTAAATCGGTGTAATAAATATTTATTTATTTTCATTTTATCTTTTGCCATTAATTATACTCCGTAAATAATTAATCCAAATTAGATGTTCCGGTATTAATGGCCAAAATACAATGAGATTATGAGAGACTATGTCCTAATCAACATTCACCTACAATAAAATGACTTGGACTAGATTTTATAACGTAGAGTCTAAGTACTGTTTGTTGACTATTGACTAAACATTGAACATACGAGTATACGACTATACAACTTAATACAAGTAGTAGTTTGATACAAATGGTACTCCGTAATTAAAAACAACCTACTCCGTAACATACTAACATGTGATTGTCTCTTAATTTCACATGAATATATAAATGTACGAATTTAGTGCTAATATTCTTAAATCTTAACAATAAGGTGATGAACATGGCTTAAAAACTGTGCTTTTAAATCTTGAACATTACTTGTTATAAAATTTTAAGTACGTTATGAATTTATGATCTGAGCATTTTGTAAGCATAAACAGTTCACCAAACTTTGTGGTAAAATTCAATTTAGATTTCAGAGTTCAGACGGATGTCAATCCAATTTAATTCCTTTCAACCCCACTCCATTATTTTACTTGGCTATAACCTTATCAGTCCAGTGCATGCCAGCACCATTTGACAATAACTTCTCATTTCAATACATCTACTATTTCTTCAATTATTTTTATCAAAATATCTCACTTTTATCATATTATTTTAATCAACATCTCACAATTTTTAGGCAAATAATTGAAATAATATGGAAATTTTGAACAATAAATACAATAGCACAAATTTATAATAAAAATAATAATAATGCTTCACTAAAAATGATCATCAAAGTACAATCCTAATTTTCTACTATAAACATAAAAAAAAAAAAAACAATAAGAAAAAAACTACCCTTCATTTGATCAAAGGCAAGATCAAAAAAACACTTGCCTCATCAAAGAAGATTGGAGTCCCTACAATTTCCAAAAACTTCATTGTAGAGATCACTCCTCCCCTGAAACTACCCACTAACAAGCTACTAATTTAATTTAAAATAAAAAGAAAAAAATTTACACAAACATTACATGACTTTTATGATGACACATTTTAACTCCTAACTTAATAATAACCCATACTTGGACAAATTTAATTCATTCTTAAGATGATGATGATAATATAGCATCCCAATCGATCTCATTAGATGGGTAAGACGCCAACAAGAAGTTTTCCGATCCCATGTCTTCATTATCTCCGAATGTCAAATCCGACAACGGTGATGATCCACCGGAACCCACCTCGCTATCGGAGGTGCTCTCGGCTTTAACATCACCGTGTTGCAACATCGATTGCTGTGAAGTTTGCTGCTGATGCTGTTGCGATGCTGCCGCGACTGTGGTACAGCAGCTCGACGATGATGAAGAGCATGAAGTAACAGTAACATCTTTATCTTTCTTCTTCGACTTTCCAGATTTCCCCTGTTTCTCATTCCCCTGTTTAGCTAAACTCTCACAAATAGCCTCAAGTTTAGCGTTAACAGAGGAGTGAAGGGGTTTGTACTCGCCGAATTCGCCACCGATGTGGGACCCTTCATGGCGGAGGTTAGGAAAATTGAGCCTAGCAAAGTCCCCTCTTAGCTTATAAGCCGCCTTGTCGTAAGCCAAGGCGGCTTCTTCAGCCGTATCAAAGGTACCCAACCAAAGCCGGGTCCGGTTCTTAGGCAAACGGATCTCAGCGACCCATTTACCCCAGTGACGCTGCCTCACGCCCCGGTAAAGCTTAGTCGGCTTCGAGGCAAGCCCGTTAGATTTCATGGTAACGGGTTTAGGAGACAGAAAATTATTGATATTACTGGATTGGTAAGAAGGAAGTGGTGGTGGAAATGAATAGCTCATTTGTTGGGGTTGGGCTTGTGGGTAACTAAATTGGGCCTGGGAGAAATGGGTTAGCCCATAAGTAGTTGATGGATCTGGATGGGTTAGCCCATAAAAGGGAGCCTGCTCTGAATAGCAACCATCCTGAAACAAAGAGGTGGTGGTGGTGGTGGGATCTAGACTGTAAGAAGAAGGTGAGGCTAGACAAAATGAAGACGCCGAAGCCGGCGCCGGAAAAGAATAACATGAGGTGGTTGAGGCGGAAGAAGGTGGAAGAGTTGTCGATTTCATGAAAGGTGAGAGTGCTTCCATTAGTTCATTCCCAAATGGGTCTGAACTAATTTGTGCATTACTATTACTAAACATCATATCCATTGCTGTTGCTGCTATTTTTAACCTGCAAAATGAGAATTTTTTTTTGTTTTTTTTTTTTTTTTTTTTTTGGAGATTTAAACAAGATAAGATAAAGTAAAATAAAAATAATCAACCTGTTACTTAGTAAAATTAAAGAACAGGTTAGTCCAAAAATATTAACACTAAATCAAAATAAAAATTAAAATTTGAGAAGTAGAAACAAATAGAATTCTCTTCTCTTTTCTTCTAACTTAATAAAAAAAAAAAAAAAAAAAATCAACTTTCGAGGGAGTAAAAATTTACCCTCGTAGCTGAAAACCCAAAAGATTTCGATTCGATTCGATTTTAAACAAAAATTAAAAAATCGGAATCACGATTCTGTAAAAATAAACACCTATCCTTTCTTTAAAATCAAAAGCTTGATATCTTGGTTTCGAAATAAATTCTATAAAAACTCACTTTTATAAGATATAATTAACCTTCCAAAACATCAAACCATTAAATTTTTCCAAAAAAGACAGATGAATTATCAACAGAAAGGGAATCCAAGAAGCGGGGAATTACAGAAATTAGGGGGAAAATTAAGAGAATTATCAGATCTGAAGAACTCTGAAGGCTCACTCAATTTTTGTGAAAATGGGTTGAAGAAAAAAAGGGGAAAGAAAAACTCTCAGCCTTACTTTTTTTTGAGCAAATTGTTGTGTTTTTGGGTTGCCTCACTGCAATGGTGAGAGGCCAATTATATAAGCAGCCAAATTACCCTCATATCTCATTTTTTAATTTAGTATTTTTTATAAGTGGGTTTATTTTAAGGATACTTTCGTCTTTTCAGTGCAATACTGCTTTTTTTTCTTCATCCTTCCCAACTCCCGGTAAACGGTTTTTTAATGATGTAAGTGTATCTAATCAGGGGTTTTTTGTCCAATTGGGGGTTGACACGTAGGTATGTTATCACCAGATGTCAGTTATTTTGCCACGTGTCAGTTTGAAAGTTTGGGTCTAGTTTGTTTTTCGGTGTTGACCGGGTTGCAGCGTTCACACGCCCACAGCCCACAGTTGTAATACAGCTTTCTAAAAAAATTATTTATTATTTAATTTATATGTCATTTCGACGTATTTTAATTTTTTTATTATTATTATAAAATTAAAATATTTTTCTTTCTTAAAATGTCAGAAATAAGATTCGAAAAAAGAACAAAAAGATAAAAGACAATTTGAGCGAATAAGACGAGCTAAGACATTGATTGTTGCCAAAATTTTAGTAATTTGATCCTAATCAATTCACGGAATATGAACCCCATTATACCAAGAAAAGTTGTGGATTGGAAAAAAGGCCAAAAATTATTCCATTATTTTTCCTTTTTATTCACGCAGGTTTTTTACTCCCCTAGTGCTTTGCTTCTTTTGTTCATGGAGGTTACTTCTGAAATGTGAATGAAAAGATTCTTAAGAATCGCAATTAGTTTTCGGTGTGGATGTTAGCTTGCTATTTAGCTACTGCCTTGCAAGTGGTATATTAGAATTGAATTTTGTATACATTATTTATTTTCTTTTGTCTATATAATCTTGTCTGTAATAAAAATTTAAAGCGATAATACCAATAATAATAGATCAATGTGAATCATAGGAGCTTAATTTTTTTTTAGCACAACATAGTTCCAATGTAATTTTGTGCAAAATAATTTTGTTTACTTAAGTTTATATATAATCATGTTAAATATAAGAACCCTAGCTTAGATGACGACTTTAAGGGTCTGTTCCGATTTACTAAAACAACTGAACTTATTGAAGCTAAATTGAATTGTTTATGAGAAAAGAAAATTAGAAACTGAACTTAACTGATTGGAGCGGAGCTAAACTGAACTTAACTAAAATTAAGTTGAACGGAACAGGTTCTAAATTAGCATCAGTTTAGAAAAGGTCACTCCATTTCATAGAGTTTAGAAATTCTTTTTATTTACTAATTATGTGATTCATTGTTTAACTTGACCGTCTTTAATAATTTTATGTTAGGCGAAAACCACAATATTTGTGAAATCTTGATAGGTTTTTTTTATGGTGAATTTGCATATTACTTGTATCAAATAAGCCACTCCTTATTTTTCTAATTATTGCACAAAATGAATTACATTCATTGACAACCGCGGAGTTAAAATGGAAAATATTTCATTAAAAAATAAAGTACTCCAACAATTACTCCTTTATCTCATCTTGTTTCATACTACTTTTTACATTATTACAATTATCATATTTTAATTTGAGTTGAAAAATGCAATACAAATATATTATATAGAAAAAATTGTATATTAAAACTACAATAAGAATCCATTTAAATATGTATTTTAACCCTTAATTTTATGGAAAACTTTTATATATATAGTCATTATGATCTACTTGATTTCACTAAAAAAAAATGATCTATTTGAAGCGAAGATTTAACTAGGACAAATAAAATGAAACAAGATGAATAATATGGAATTGAGTCATGCATCATGCAGTTTACTACTAGTACTATGCCATGCCGGTAAAAATAATCATGATTTATCCCTTATAGTCAAACCAATTTGGTTTCTCTAAAGTCCAATAATTATTCATTCCACTCAATTATCAAGGAATAGCTAGCTTATTAGGGTGGGGGAGGTGAGTAATTTCTTAATACTCCGTATGTCATAACTATAATATTGACTTTTTAATATCACAAATTTGCTTGTAATTTGAAGTCGATAAATCTAAAGATAAAGCAGAGAGGAAAAATATCTAATCGTTGCACATAATATGTAACGTAGGTAGTATTAAACTTATAGTTTGTATTAATTCTGTATAATTAACTTTTATATGTGTTTATAATTAAAATTAATTTTGATTTAACTAACTAGTACTCCGTACTAAAGTATTTGTCAAACTATCCTTAACTTGAACTTGACATTGGAAAAAAAATGATGTTATTTCATTGGCTGCAAGGTTATGTAGTGGTAGAGCATCAACCAAAAGAATGAAGACATACTATAATAACAAGATTACATAATAATAATAATACTCTAATTATGGTTGAAATTAAAGTGTTTTTGGAGTAGATTGATAAGGTTTATAACATAAACAAACTATGGCTGCATTTTAATAAATGAATTTCAACTTAGTTAAGGCCTATGACATGCATTAACATATTAAATAATTAGGTCATGATAATATAATCTTCTCTTGTGGCACATTATAGAACACTAAAAACAAAAATTAATTTTATACTTTAGGATGAGATATGATCAAAATAAACATCGCAAAAATTAAATTAATAAAAATGAAAATTAAGCATTTGTAATCATGCGAAAAAGACACCCACGAAAAGAACACTCTAGAAAGTAAAAAAAGATAATGTATAAAAACGTGTTGAAGTTGTTTAAAGTGGAATTATTTGATGAAAATTTAATTAAAATTTTCTCTCTCTTAGACTTTCAGAATTTGCTGCAACAATTAGAAAAAGGAGTGTTTTAATTGGACAGCATGATATTAATTGAGGATTAGATTAAGACGTAAGGGTGTGACAACGTACAAATCACCATTGGATTTTGGTAGTATAACAACGTCATTTATGAGTATTAGGTGAATTTCTAACTAATGCTGATCATATTATTGCAGCTTCCATCATTTTTTTTTACCCAATGTAAAGTTTGGTTTTAAGTTTTAACCTTGTAATTTAATCCAATTTCAATAATGCAGTGCAATTATATACTTTAATAGCTTTTACTTAGCTTAATTACCGCAAAAACAATATTGGTTATTTAATTTACTACTTTAAACAAGATAAATCATACTCTAAAATAGCAACGAGAATAATTTTGATATACACGGAGTACAACTTATTAAAACACTTATACAAGTTGTGTGAAACTAGCTCATAGGTGATTGCACATAAAATATATGATTGTTTTTATGTATGTTACGCGTGCTATATCATACTTGTACATGGCTAAAATTGAATGTAATATGTCAAATCAATTTTTATAACAAATCATAACTACTAGAAGTATTTGGGATTTTTTTGGTAACCATAGCTTCTCGACTTATCCTTTTTGCTTAGCGAGTTCTTACTTCATCATGTGTGGCCGTGTGGGTAATAAGTTTTAAAATGCATTATGGTTTATCTTATTCTTTTAGTTTGTATTAATGATTTTATTTAGATTGTTCTTACTTAATTAAAAAATTAGCTTGGCGAATTCTTACTTAATTTTCAAATGTCAAATTGATTTCATTGAAATTGCTCTCTTTTTACTCGTAGGGTTTTCAATTTTGAAAGGTAACTTGTGCTTTTATAATTTGCAATTTGACAAATATTCATAATTATAAGCTACCTATAAATAAACAAATTTAAATTTAACATAATTTCACATCTAAAACACTCCATCCATTGTTTTGAAATCTTGCATGATACGGAAAAAAAATGTCAAATCATGAAAAACATTTAAGAACAAAAGGAGTACATAAATTAGCAAAATATCGATCTCAATCCGTCATAATTATTAAATATTTCATATCTTAATTATAATAAAACTATAATGGAGTGTCACAGTTTGGTCGTATAGCATTGAGTAATTAATGATCAATCAAATAATCCTACGTGATATAATTAGTATAAAACTAATGTAAGCACTCTAAAAAAATTATTTATGTAGCAAGTTCTAATTAGTCAACCTTTTATTCTCTCCCGTTTTTATAGCCCAGGCTATTGTTCTAGTCAACTTTAAGGCTGCTATTTTCTTAGTATTTTCTTTTTTTTCGTAAAATTTGAGCAACTCATTTATTCTTTTAATTGAAAAAAATATATCATGAGCAACTCTTGAAGTGATCAAAAGTCACAAAACCCTTTCGATCTAAACATTAAAATAAATCACAATATCCTCGTCGAAAAAAAAAAGTCGTTGATCATGGTTAGGTTCTTAGGTAGTCCAACTGTAGACTTGTTAAACTTAAAAATAAATAATTTAATTTTAGAAGAAAAAAAAATTACTCCCTCATTGTGTATTGCTTCTTTTGTATAAGATTATTTTTAAAAAATCATAATCAATTATTTGACGGTGAATTTATATTACGGAGTAATACATAAATTAATATGGTTAACTAATAAATTATTA